AATATCACCAAAATAAGAATAAATAGATTGATGTAGATTAAAATAAATAAACGACTGATAGATAATGAATCCTAGAATAAATAGGAAATATATTAGGGTCATAGTTAGCAGATCAAAACAATATATGTGTTGAAACATATATTTTATTGAACATTATTTACGAATGTTATAACGAATATGATTTCTAATAAATGTTAATAATCTGTTTTTTTCTTCTCAATTTTTCAATCTAATTGTAAGTTCATGGTTCTCTTGATTTCTTTCACATGTTTACATGTGGCAACAAATTTATTGTAAATTTAAACAATTTTTTTTTGTTCTTTACAACGAAATCACACTTGTTCAAAGTAAACGATCATAACGATACAAATTTCGTTATAATTTATAAACAAAGTCATATTATAGATATATGTTTACATAAACTTTTTCTATTATTTCGTTATACTTCAAAGTCACTTCTAATTGTAATTATATACAGTATATATTTATATATATATACATAATACAATTAATCTTTGTTTAAAAATACAAATATATGTATAAATGATTGACACAAATAGCAAATAATTATAATATATAATAATAATTGGTGAAATTATTTTGTAATAAAAAAAAATTTGTAACGCTTTTAGTTTTAGAAAATAGCAATAAATGAATGATTAGCAATAAAGAGATAAAAAAGAAAGTAATACTACTTAACGCTGGTGGTCATAAACATGATAATATATTACTCTACAATTACAAAATTATTTTCATGACCCCCGTTTAATCGTTATCATTTTTAATCGTTAAAAGATGAATTAATGAACATATTAAAAGATTCGCGTTTGAGTAATATAAATAGATTTTAGTTATAATTGTCATGTTATAAGAAAAAAAAAAAAAAAAAATATTATGATTAGAAAAAAAAATAACTTTCTCTTATCTTTCACTATAAATAAAGAAACCAAAAATTTGATATTCTTTTTAATTGACAACAAATTATAATTCAGTTATAAGCAGTTTTATATAGAAATTGTATATTTTATATATGTGCCCATAATTATGAAAATGGTCTAAAGTCATATTTATCATCTTGTTTTGAGATATTTCAAGATTTATACTTGAACATTATATGAATTTTATACAATATTGAAATAACAAACATTATCATCTAACGATTCATTTGTGATAATATCGTTTTTAAATTACATTGAATTTTATTTAGTTTATAATAATGTATTGCGTAATAACTGTTAAACTCACTTTTTTTTTTTATTAATTTTCACTTAGACCACTTTTATAATTATGGGCACTCTATTATAAAATAAGATATATGTATTATATAATATATTTATGAACATATATATATATATATATAGTCTCGAAAGTTTCTTTACAGAACTATGATGATGATTATTATTATTATTATTTTTATTATTTAGCCTTTAGAAAAGTAATTATAAATTAATAAACAACAAATTCTTCATGTTTATTTAATAATCCTAGTGTGTTTATTTCAATGTGAGTATATGAAAAAAATATGTTGTTATTGTTGTTGTTGTTTGTAACAATGTTATGAACAATATTTATGTGTTTTTTTTTCTTCTAATGAATAATATCTAAATCAATGTTCATGCAATTATCTAAGAAGTCGAATTATTTAATCAAATAAAAAAAAAAGAAAAAGAAAAAACAATTTTGTTCCAAGGATTGATCATTTTCTTATATCATATGCATTTACAAATGTATTTATTTATGTATGTATGTAGTTATAATATATTTATGCAGATGCAAATATAGAAGTAAATGCTTCACGTGGATATCTTTTCTAGTTTATTTTTTAAAGTCATAAGAACAACTCATGTGCATATAAATGTTTTCATATATATAAATATGAATAAATAGTATGTATTATTCCTTACGTAAGCAGAAATCTATATATATATATATATATATATAAATATTTGGGTTTAAAACAATTGTACAATTATTAAACTAAAAATTTGTATGCTCTTTACGTTCTAGAAAATAATATTATATATATATATATGTTATATTGTTTTATAATTTATAAAAATTTTATAATATATATATATTATTATTTATTATTTTATAATATTTATATTATTTATTATAATATTATAATTATATAATAATAATATATATATTATTATATTATAGAATAATATTTATATTATTTTATTTGTAAATAAAAAAAAATTAATTATATTATATTATATATATTATTAAATTAATTAATTATTTATTTAAATTAATTATTATAATTATATTAAATTAATATTATTAATTAATTATTATTAAATATATATATTATATTATATGATATGTATTTTATATTGTAATTATATGATATGTATATATTTTATAACTGTTTATTATATGATATGTATTTTGTACTGTATTATATATATATATAGATATTCAATAATATTTGAAAGATTATTGAAAAAAAAAAAAAAAATAAAAATTATAAACTGTTTAAAAGGATCGAAATGATTCACATTTCATTCTATTTTATACAATAATTTGTAGAAAGTTATCATTTAACCGTATTAGTACGACACATGTATAATACATTGAATATGCTGATTAGTTAAGTATTATAGTTTGTATCGATGACGTACAATGATGGATGTTAAGAACAATAAATTATTTCAACGTTTAATTGACGGAACAAACAATGTTAACGTGTTTATTTATGATACGAATTATATATCTATGGATTATATGTGTGCACTCATATTTACCATCTGTAATGTCATATAGCTTTGAAGTCATACTATTATACATGTTTTTTGAAGTTTCATTTCATTTTTTTTTTTTTTTTTTTTTTTTGATAAAAAAGAAAAGAATTAATTATATATATATATTTTTTACAAGAGCTTCATGAGATTTTGAAATTACCGATTTTTGCTGAATTTTAAATAATTCTTTAGTGTCCATTAGAACCATACACTGTACAAACAATAAGACCAAATATTAGAATTTTATTTGTATTATTAATATAATTTTCTAATTGATATTTATTTGTATAGTGTACGAAATAAAATATTGATAAAAAAAATTATATTTTATGATTTAATTTAAATGAACAATTTAATAATTCTTCTTCTTTTTATTTTTTTTTTTTTACTCAAAATCAATTGTCATAATTATTAACATGTAAAATCTATATGTATATATTATGAAGTTATGTATGTATGTATTCATATATATGAATCTATTATATAATATGTAAATGTATTATATGTATGTATGTACGTATTAGGTATGTATGTAAACACGTGGTATATAAAAATAATAATTAAAATTGTTTGTATATATTTTAAGAACAATTGGACTAACGTTCATTAGTTGTGTTTCGCGTTTGCCGAAATGTTAATAATTATTAAAAGTACAAAATAACCCCCTAAAACAACATATGTCACATTATCCCAATATTATTTGTCTACGTATTCGTCAAAATTACCGACAAATAACTTGTTGCTTACGTAAGAAGGAATTTACGTCACGATAATCCCAATCGTTTGTAGACTTTTATGCGCATTAAAAGAGATCGTATCATATTTTATCGTCTAATTAACTAATCAACCATACCTTACATTTTCTTTTTCTTGATATTTCACTAGATTTGTATACGATTATTATACCAATGATCTAAATCAAACAATTGACATGAACAAGATTTTAATATTTATTACGACGTTATAATATAAATAATTGAGTAGTTGTGTGTGGAAATGAAAAAAAAAAAAGAAATACGAGTATTAAATAATTGATTTCTTTAATTTGAGATTAATTTGCATTAAACTAGATTTTATCATTGTTTATCGTCTCATTAACAATCAACTATACATTTTTTTTTTTATATTTGACTACATTTGTATCGATAATTATAAAAAAAAGATTTAAATCAAACAATTAACACATGGAATAAATTTTAATATTTATTACGTTATAATATCAATAATTGAGTTAAAGATTTTTGTTTTAATTTGAGATAAACTCATAACAAAAACAAAAACAAAACTAACAACTAAATGTTGCCTCTTAGTTGTTCCAAATTAAAAGAAACAAAAAAAAAAAAAACTACTCTCGTATTCCGTTTCCTTTTTTAGCCACAATAAATAAAATCTATTATTTTAGTTTTGTTTTTTTTTTATTTAGATCTTAGTCCTAATTACCGATACAAATTTATCTATTATCTATTTCAATTGACAGTACTTCCACATTTTTGTATTTTTTTTTTTTTTTTCTTAAACCTACAAAAAATACAAAAAGAAAAAGAAAAATAGGAAAAAGTAAATAGGCTCAAAGTAAACTTAGCAAAGGTTTAATTTTAGTTACTTGTTGAAATTCGCGAAGAACGTTTTTTTTTTCTTTTAGACTCGAGATATATATATATATATATATATATATATATAAGAGGAGTAAAGAGATATAGAGATAAATAGATAAATACAGAGAGATAGAAAAGATAAAGTACCGATACACTTTGAATATCAAGGATTATAAATAAGTATGAATTATAAGAGGTATGTTCTCGATCGAACATTTTTGTGCCCACATTTCTGAGGATTTTATCAGCAATGGTCTGACGTTGTGGCTCGACTGTCAAGTATATTTTCGGCACATCGCAGCAAACCAACCAACCAACCAACCAACCACCCACCCACCAATATAATACTCACGTACATATATATATATATAGATATACATAACCGTTGTACCAGCTTATGATCGAGGTGTAAACTAATAGACTGTAAACGAGTCTGGTCACGAGGGCCCCCGTATATCGGTCTTTACGACACATGAAAATAGAGCTCCTGTCGAATCTCGAATAACCAAACCCCCACAAAGATCATCTTATTCGATCGTAAATGTCCGAACTTTTGGTTACATTATGAGTAGTGTATGCTATAGCCGCTTAATTTTAGGATTCTAATAACATATATATCGTTTCTATTGGACGGACAAAAGGATGCAATTTAACTTACCGACAGGCGACAATGATTCCAAGGAATCTGAAATGATAAAATAAAACGAATGAAGTTTTTCATTAATTCGTTAGATAATTAAAAGATATTCATGATTAATAGATTTTTCTAAATTTTTAATTGGATCTATTGCAACGTTGGTAATGTAATTTTGACAAATCGTTTGTTTGTATTATATCTATTAGAAATGAGTCATATGTTGTATCAGATTGATCGAAATTATCTCTAGATGATTTGTAAACTTAATCTAAATCTTTCGAGGATATTTTTCATTTGAAAGGTTAGATTGTACGAAAATTAGTATAAATATAATGCGATTGATTTGTGAAATAATGGTAAATTTTATATATTTAGTTGCCGTTTTTTCTGGACACTCTGTATATTACATTATATTATTATATATATGTATTAGTAAAAAAAAAGTTATGAGAATATTGCTATGGCTGTGGCTCACAATCAGTCCGATACACATGTCTTTAAGTTAACGAATTATCTTATACCGCCATCTGTTAGAATCTTATCGAACTAACAGAGATAATCATAACTCTTTATTAATAAAATAATATTGCTATTAGAAATTGAGATATGAACTATCCTATCATTCAAGTTGAATGAAACTGCACACAGTGTGCAAAATTTAATTAAAATCGGTTCAGTAGTTTAGGAATCCATTGCGGACAAACAACGTGACACGTAATTTATAAATTTATTAAGAAAAAAAAGAAGAAGAAGATTAGACATATTCTAAAAAATTTGAAAAAAAAAATTCTTTTTATACAAGAAATTAATATTTAAACAATTTGATTAAATATCTATTTTTAATAATAATTACATATTTGATAAACATATATAAAAAAAACATATGTATGTATCTAAGCACTGATTAAAGTCTTGTACGAGGTTACCTTTGTGCTTTCAACAACAAGGTTCACACGTGCGTCCGATACGAAGTTCGCCAAATGTAAATGAAAAAAAAAAAAAAAGATAAAGAAAGAACAAAAACAAAAAAAAAAAAAATGGACAAATACTTTGTGTTTTGGCGAGAACGTTCAACGATTTTTCCGACAAAGGATACTTTGACGCCGTTGTTTATATCTAAAATACAAGTTCTCTTTTCTTTCTCTTTCTATCTCTCTGTCTCTCTCTCTTTTCCTTATAATAAGATTTAAACTCTTATTCCACATGACAAATATTTCTTTTTTCTTTTCAAAATATTATTGTAAAATCATTTAATTGGATTAATGGCTACAAATCTTTAGGTTATTTTAATAATCAATTTTTATTCTGATCAAATCTTGTATACAGTCATATTTTGTAAGCTTTTATATTAATATTTGAACAAAAGTTTAATATTAAGTGCATTGAAAATGAATSAATGATCGATCTTTAATATTATTTTATTTCAAACTTTTTGATATATCTTCCATTCGCCATTTATGTATAATAAAATATTATTTAATTCTTTTCATTTTATTTTCTAGTCATGAAATTATTGAAAACTTCCTGTCTACGTATCATTCTATTCTTTAATGAAATTTATTTTATGCATTAGATAGAGTTAAAATGACGGTTTCAAATTTCCAAGGTTTAATTGGTTACATTTTTTACAAAAGTATTATATAATACTTATTGTTAGTAATTTTTGTTTTGTATGATTCTTTTTTTTTTTTTTTAATCTAAAATCTTCTACTCTTGTGGGATATCATTTTATTATTTAAATCAAATCAATTTTGTGGATTAATACAGAGTCCAAATACGACGATTTCAAATCTTCAAGATAAATAAGTCAAATGTTGTTGTTTAACCAAACGTTATTCATTCCAATTATTTTTTTTTCTTTTTTTTTTTTATCTTTAACGGTTCAAACAATTCATCCCACAAATCGTTCATTCGTACGATATTATTTTTAAATAATAAAAATCAACTCGTCTTACATTTCATATTAATCGAATAATTGCAAATTGTATTTTTCAAAATTTGTTTGTATTTATTAAATTACAGTATTCAATGTTTGTTCTTTCATGACTCAATGATATATATCGAAATCTTGTTATCTTTATTATTATATTTTATTATTTGTATTAAAAAAAAAAAAAAAAATAAAATAAAAATTCTATTTTTATATATAAATTATTAAAAGTAAACGATGAAATGTTTTTTTTTTTTCAATTTTTTCAGATTATACAGATTAAATTTATACAGATATGAGATGCATTAAGAAAATTCGAGAGAAGGATTTGCAAATGCATAGGAGAATTGCATCTGGGTTGCGTACACTTTAAGAAAAAGGGAGATAGAGAGTTTATGAGAGGGGATATAGGGGCGGGGGGGAATAGGGGAGACACAGTCTCGTGCGTCATGAGAGACGTGTCGCTACCCCAAATCTTTGGAGATACTATTTTTGAAACAGAGCTTGGCTTTGGCTGGTCTAATGTAAGCTTTAGCTGGCCGACAGTTAGTGTATACTATCAAGAGCCATCGACATCTCGATTTGTATCCTTTTCAATTCTCAATCATTATTTTTCATCTTACTATTGTACTATATATATCAATTTTTAAAAAATTATCTTAGAAAATATTTCAATTCGATATCACACGATTTTATATATATAAATGTAGATTATATTTTATTTAATATTATTATTATAATATAATAGTATACATAGTATTAGTATATATATTATATCATATTATATTATATATATTATATCATATTATTATATTATTTATATTATATTATATTATATTATACTATATTATATTGTATAATAGCATATTATATTATATTATTATAAGAGTATAATAAAGTATTTATAGTATAGTATTATATATATACTTACACATTATAATATATAATATTATATTATATTATATTATATTATTATAAGAGTATAAGTATTTATAGTATAGTATTATATATATATACTTATATATTATAATATATAATATTATATTATATATATTATATCATATTATTATATTAATTATATTATATTATATTTTATTATATTATATTATTATAAGAGTATAATATATATATAAAAGTGTTTATAGTATAGTATTATACATATATATATCATATTATTATATTAATTATATTATATTATATTATATTATTATAAGAGTATAATATATATAAAAGTGTTTATAGTATAGTATTATACATATATATATTTATACATTATAATATATAATATTATATTATATATATTATATATATCATATTACTATATTATAAGTATAATAAATGTTTATATTATATTATCAATACTTATATATTATTTTATAAGTATTATAACTATATATATATATAATATTTATTACTTAATTAAAAATAAACGATAATATATATTTGAGAATGATTGATGTCCTGGTAAAGGATATTTTGCTTCTTTTAAGGGTCAAACATTGATGGTTTCCATTTCATTCTCCTCTAATAAATTACTATAATTTGATAAAACAAGTTTGGTGTTGAAGTTAATCTTTTAAAGTTGTTTTTTTTTTTTCATTTCAATCATCATCATCATCATCATTCAATCATCATTTCATTCAATCAATTCGCTTTAAACTGAAAATTGTATAATTAATTATTTATTCATGTAATACATTATTATAGATTTATATTTATTTAAATACTTTCAATTGAAATTTATAAGAAGTGAGTATCCTATATATATATGTAACGATCAATTTTCATGTTTTAATATAAATGATAAATAATTAAATTTATTTGTTATTCGTTATTTAGCTGATCGTCATGGGGTATCCACATTGATGAGAATTTTCTGAGAATATATTTATGAGAATTTGACAAGAAACTTGGTATTGGGAATAAATCGTTGGTTTTTTTTGGTCTCTCAAACATATCAATAAATTCATATATTAATTATTATGTTATTAAAATTTTTTTGGAAATTTTCATTCAATTAATAAATCGTTTGTTTTTTGGTCTCTCAAACACATCAATAAATTCATATATTAATTATTATGTTATTAAAATTTTTTTGGAAATGTTCATTCAATTAATAAATCGATTGTTTTTTGGTCTCTCAAACACATCAATAAATTCATATATTAATTATTATGTTATTAAAATTTTTGGGGAAATGTTCATTCAATTAATAAATCGTTTGTTTTTTGGTCTCTCAAACACATCAATAAATTCATATATTAATTATTATGTTATTAAAATTTTTTTGGAAATCTTCATTCAATTGATCAACTTTCAATTTATTTATAATTACACTTGTAGATTATAGATATATATATATATATATATATATATATATAGTATGTAGAAATAATCCAAAGTATAGTTATTTGATGAAGAATTGAATTTTCCCCTAATGTATTACTATGATAACGATTTTACCTTGTGTCTAGAATTCTGATCGTGGCGAAAGAAACATCAGTTTGTCCGAGTGTGATCACTGATCACGCTATTACGTCAACAAAAAGCATGATTTCACGTCGTGATGGGATCATTCTCTTCTCAACCAAGAAGAAAAAAAAAAGAAAGAAAGAGAGAGAGAGAAAGAGAAAGATTTCTAGGTTTTCTCAAGCTCTAAACAAGTAAGTACAATTCCTCGAAGCCTTTTTTTACGATCACTAACGATTGGGAATTTACCGTGGCTATCTAAAATGTCCCAGCTTAAGATTTGCGTTACAAAGTTCTTTACGTTCTTATCATTTTATAATACGATATTATTAAATAAATAGGTTAACGTTATAAATTGATCTTGGTCTTTTGTTTCTCTTTTTTTTTTTTTTTTTGTTAAGATAAAAACAACGAAAAGACATTGGTATTGATAATGTAACTAATTGATTTAGATTCTATTTGGTTATTAACACTAGATTGACGAACTGATGGTCTTTTGTTTCTTTTCTTTTCTTTTCTTTTTTTTTTTTGTTAAGATAAATAGAACGACAAAATTAAAATGAAACATAAAAAAAAAAAAAAGGTAAAAACAACGACAAGACATTGGTATTGATAATGTAACTAATTGATTTAGATTCTATTTGGTTAT